CGGAACCCCAGCCACCAAGGTTGGCACTCAGGGTACATCCTGACTGTCCTCAGCCATGCTGGTGCCAGCGCAGGCCCGGGCCTGCTGCTTGGTCTTTCCTGAGTCGCTTCCCCGCCTTCCTCCCCTCCTGAGGTGGTCACTGCACAGCTGGTCCACTGGCCTCAGGTCCTTCCAGGACATTGTCTCTCCAGGCAACCTCAATAGCTCTGCATTTAGCCTAAATTCACAGAGTCCTTGCCGAACCAGGCCTAGTTCCTCAGTTCATTCCCACGACCATCAGGGGGTCAAAGTTAGCCTGTTCCTTGTGTGATGTTCTGTGCCCCCTCTTTCATCCCCACACCCCAAATCCTGTCCAGTCCCCACCGATCAACCCGCATACCTTCCCAGCACAGCTCTCTTGGGTCCCTGCAGCCACCAAGACTTCTTCCTGGGAAGCCCAATACCTCCTCAGTGGCCTTGGACCCCCAAACCCACGTGCTTCGCAGGGGTTCCTGCCAGAAAACCACTCTCAGGTTGCCTGGTAAGGAGGAAGGAGCCCCTGGGTTGAGCCAGGATGGGGCCACATTTTTGGTGTTGGAGACCTCTGTTGGCAGCCTAACCTGGATTTCCCCCACTCAGTCCTGTTGCTTCAGATAGGGTGACGGCGCTTAGCTGGTGACGGAGCTTGTGACCTCCACCTTAGACACTGGGGACTTTGGGGACCAAGTATGCTCCTTTCCAAGGTCTTGAGCCTGAAGCCCTGAAAGTCTCTCCCACCACAGGGAGAAGTCCAGTTAGGAAACGGACTTGAGAAGAAGCAAGACAGACAGGTCCTGGAGATGTTGCTAGGCCCAGCCTTCTCCCAGCCTTCTCCCACTTGGTTTTTTCTGAGGGGGAGAGGATACCGGGGATCGAACTCATAACCTCGAGCTTGCCAGGCAGGTGCTTGTGCCATTGAGACACTTTTTTTTTTTTTTTTTGAGACACTTTTTTTGTGTTTGTCACTATGCAATTCAGGCTGACCCTGAACTCACTACATAACCCAGGTTGGCCTCAAACTCAAGGCAGTTCTCTTGCCTCAGTCTCCTGAGTGATGGGATTTCAGGTGTGCACCACCACGCCTGGCTGGACTTCCCACTTCTGGTGCGTAATAAATTCACTAAGCCACCCTGTGTTGGGTCCCCCACACCCAGGTGCAGCACAGAGGCGCTGACTAGTGTAGGCAGCGAGGAGGGGGGACTCCCAGGTGGCCGGCTCCCGCCCGCCCCCCCATCATCCTCCGGAAGGCCATGGGTGGCCGCCCTTGGCTCCAGCAGTATGAATAGAAGCCAGGGGCCCTGTGTCCTGTCCTTCACATCCTGTGTGCGGTGCTGGCATCCCAGGGGCTGCAGGACTAGAATGAGAACCATCTGGGCTGCTGCTGGGGGCCCCAAAGATGGATGCTGAACCCCAAGCCAAGGGCTTGTCAGGGGGCTCCAGGGCCTGTTGGCTGATCCAGAAAGTCCCTGAAAAACCCATGAATCACTAGAATATGGGAGGAGGGTGCAGAGGTTCCTGGGCTTTCCAAAGGGAGCCGTCCAGGCCCAGGGCCCAGGGAGGAGACCTGGACCCACCTCTCCCGGGAGCCCTTGGAGAATGTTGCTGGCAGCAGCTGGAACGGGGATTGCCGGGAAAGGAGCACCAGGGCTGGGAAGTGCCCGGATGCTGTGGGAAGAGGGCAGTGCTCAGAGTCCCAGGAGGCATGGAGGGTGAGGGCTGGAATGCTCCTGGCCAGTCCTCTGTGCTGCAGACCTTGGGAAAGGCCACTGGTCCCAGCACTGGGATGGTTCTGGGGCTGGGAGAGGTGGATAGCTCTGCAGAAGCATCCTGGGAAATGGGGGTGACTGTGGGAACCCCTAACTTCGGGTCCTGGAGGGACTCACTCTGCATGTGGGGCTGAGGAGGGCCATGGAGCCCGGGCGGGCCTTGGACTGTGGGTCCGGCCCAGGCAGGACCACAGAGGGGAGCCAACATCGGTCAGCTGGAGGGCAGGGCCGCTGGCAGGAGTGGGCAACAGGAGGCTGAAGAGGGAGCCTTGCTGGCCTCGGATCTGCTGCAGCCAGATGCCTGGGGCCTGGCCTGGTCCCCTGGCCTTGTGCCTACCAGCTGCCACTGAGTGGCGGAGGGATCTGCTTTGCATTACCCGAAGAGCGGCCCCCCAGGCATATGGTCTGCAGACCCCAGCCCAGAGCACCATGGGAGACAGCACCCCCTGACCTCCAGCTCTGGCCCAGCCCCTTCTTCCCCGGGAGCACGGGTGCAGAGCTGCCCACACTGTCCCATGTCGGCGTAGCTCCCTGGCCTTGACAGAGGTGGCGGATGGAAGGCTCTGGGTGGGTCAGAGCCCGGGTGGGGCTGACACCTAGAGGACGCAGGGGCAGGATGCCGAGGACACCGATGACACAGGAGGAAGCAGGACAGTCCCCGGGGGCTCAGAACCAGTGAATCCTTACAGCCCTGCCGTCTCCACTGCTGAGCCCTTGAAACGTGACGAGTGCAATGTAAGAAGAAAACACATAGCGTTTAGGTTTTTTTGCTCGTGCAGTGTGATTACTAAATCACTTTAAGTCGCACATGCATCTCTTGTGTCATCTCCCATTGGGCAGCGCTGACTCTGTCAGGCGAGGGGCGGAGGATCAGAGGGTGAGCAAACCCAGAGTGTATCTCTGGATTCCTGGAGTTTGCGGTAACCAAATAATCGTTCAGGGGGCGCCTAATTCCAAAGAGAGAGAGGAAGTGGTCGGAATGAAATATGGTGGTTTGTGAAGCTACTGTCTGGAAGCCTGATTTCGGAACTCTGGGTTTTTCCCAAGGGAGCCCTGGTCTGAGGCAGCTTGGCTGGAAAGAGGGTGCCAGACAGAGGGGCAGCAGGTGAAAATGTCCTGTGGTAGAAGGAGTGGAACATCTGGGAGATTTGTGAGCAGGCTGGTTGGGGGTCACACCGAGTGGGTCACACCCAATTCCCTGATACCAGAGAAAGGATGGGAAACTCTCTGGGGTGAATCAGAGGGAGGATGGAGGTGAGGATCAGGAGGCAGAATGGGTATTCTGCAGTGCAGGGAGCAGGGTGCAGAGGGACCTTTAAGGATTTGTGTCCCATCCCCCGGAGAGGGCTGGGTCAGCAGTGGTCACTTCCAGCCTCCTGAAATGCTTCCTGAACCATAACCTGGACGCTGGGAGCACAGCTGAACACAGGTTCAGCACCAGAAACAAACAACAAAACCCCAGGCTCGCAGCTCCAACTCCTCCTCCAGGGTTTCCAGAGCAGGAGGACGCTGTCCAGACCCCTCCGCCAGACTCCTCACAAGGCCTGACCCGTGTCTCCTGCGGCTCCTTCCCGCCCCACTGGCTTCCAGATCCAGAGGCTCGGCAAGCTGGCTCTGCCCCTCCCCCTCCAGGCCCCCAACACTCTTCCTGCAGTCAGTTAACTTGCTGCCCTTAGGGTTCAGCTTCTGTGGCCTTTCCCTGACCCCTGGGGCTCTCACTCAGCGTATATTATCTAGGGTCTCTGCGCTGTCTGCTCAGTCCGGACTCCTTGACTGTAGGGTTCGGGGTGTGGCTTCATGACAGATTGCTTCCCTGGTTTGTGCAAGGCCCTGGGTTTGTTCCTCAGCACCACAAAAACAAACAAATGTGTACATTTGCAAGCCAGGCATGGTGGCGCACCCCTGTAATCTCAGCACTCAGGAGGCTGAGGCAGGAGGATTACTGAAGGTTCAAGGGCAGCCTGGGATACACAGTGAAACCCTCTCTCAGACCGTGCAGCACACATGCACCCCCAGTTCGGCATGGCGGGTGCACACCTGTAGCCCCAGCTCTTCCGAAGCCTGAGACGCAATCACTGAGTCCGGGAGTTTGAGGTCAGTGTTGTTTGACACAGTGAGATCCTGAATCCACAGGTAGAGGAAGTGGGTGCCATCGGACTCCGCGCCAGGCAGGAGGCTCCCGAGGGCAGAGACTGCGTTTCTCCCTTCAGGGCCAGGGTGTGCATACCCTGAGACAGGGGCTCTGCCTCTCGTCAGATGAGGAACACCCTCGAGCTGGGACTGTTACCACCATCACACAGGGACACCTGCGAGTCAGAGGCAGCCTGTGCCATCTCCTGGGCCCTTTTCCTAATATGGTGATCATCCTGCTGGCCTCCTTCAAGGCCCTCCTCCCCGCACAGCGTCTTCAGTGCCACCGCCCTGTGTGCCTGTGGGTTGGGGGGACGAAAGCTTCCCGCCTCCTGGTGTGTGACTCCTGGTGGCCTGGCTGGCCCATCTCCCTGGATGTGGCGTCCAGAAGCCTTCTCTCTGACTCCTTCTGGAAGCCCAGCCTCCCCGTGCCTTCCCTGGTGACAGAAGATCTGGGCCAGCCACCAACAGGGGCTGAGCAGCTCTATCACCTACCTACCCAGCTGGCCTCGGGGAGGGGCAGCAGCCCCTGGAGCTCCCAGGTCAGGCCAGGCCCCCAGCCAGGCAGGGAGAAGCCAGGCCTGGGACCTGCTCACCAGAGCTGGGCCATGGGGTCTGCTTGACACCAGGCCGGCCAGCCAGGCAGCCAGCCAGCCTCCTGCGGGCCATCTGGAGCCAGCATCTGTGTGTGTGCATGTGCGTGTGCGTGTGTGTGTGGCCACATGGGTGGCTGGGAGCTGTGGGGTCGTGACCTGGCTCTCCTAGCAAACCTCAGGGTCCCCTGTGGTCAGTTTCACTTCTGACATCTGGACTAGTTCACAGCTGGCCAGCTTCCCGCATGACCGTTTTTACTTTCTCTCTCCCAGATCTTGGGGCCAAGGGCCCCCGCTCCCTTCCGCTCCCACTAAAAGGAACCTCGTGGCTACACATGGGAACTGGCTGGGTTTCTCTGACCACCTCGCAGTCTGACAGAGGGAAAAACAGGACAAGCACTCACCACGCTGGCAGTCACACCTGGCGTTCCCCACGTACACGCAACCCCGGACAGCTCAGACAGACGGAGGCTCCCAGGAAACCTCTCGGCACTGTTTCTTTCTTTGCTATTTAATGTTCATCACTTATATTCGATGCGTAGGCTTCAGGAGGGCCCGAAACATGATTACACAGGATGCAAGGAGGGGTGACAGGGACGGTGACGGGAGGTCTGGAGTTCCCAGCTCCCAGCTGCAGGATTCCTTCGTAGCCCCTAGGGTCTTGGAGGGGGGCAGGGCCCCAGAACCAAACGCATGCTAAGACAGACTCGGCAGCCCCCAACCTCCTTCCCAGCGGTGGGGCAGGAAAATAAATACCCTCAGCCTGTCCCACGCCCCGGGTGCCTGGGCACGGGCCCAGCAGGTGTCACAGACTGAGGTCCCCACGTATCACCTAGTGCAAGGCTCCTGGTCCCTAAAGCAGGCTCGGGAGAGCCCTGGGCAGGGGTGGGGTGGCAGTCCTGCACGCCCTCCCCGGGCTCCTTCATGCTTGGAGGGGGGACACATTCATTCCAACAGCAAGCAACACAGAACAGGCCGGGGAAGAGGTGAAAAGCCACTGAGAGCCACGGCCCCTTTCTGGCCACACCAAGGAAAACGATCCTCTGCAGGGTCCCCTAAGCTTGGAAGCCCCTGGAGACGACAAGTCCAACTGGATTCCTTCTTGCTGCATTCCCACACCAAGGGCCTGCTTTTCTTCGCTGAACCTCTGGGCCTGGCCAAGACCGGGTTGTGGGAAAGGGGGGTGGGGAGCGTTCCTCCACGCAGGCCCCTGGAAGACAGACGGAAGACAGACGGACGCCAGCTCCGGCCTCAGCAGTCCTCAGCCGGCCAAGGCTGGGATGAGGGAGACCGCCCAGCCGATGCTGCAGGCCAGCAGCTCCAGCAAGGGCCAGTCCTCAGCTCCAGAGCAGGGACCCGCGAAAAGAGCCGGCGTCTCACCCTGTGTGTGTGTGTATGTGTGGAGAAGTCAGGGTCCTCCGTCTCTGACCCCTAGGGCTGATTCTAGGGGCCGGTGCTGGCCCCAGGTCTGTACCAGGACAAGGGACACCAACAGACTTGGGGACTAGCCCAAGGGGGACAGGCAGAGGGCAGTTGCAGCTCATCCCACAAACCCCAAACCTGACTCCTGCAAACACACCTGAGGGCCAGCAGCCCACCCCCAAGGGGCCACACAGGGGCCTGCATGGCAGTGAACTCAGCTGCAAGACATTTCCCTGAAGGCCACTCAGACTCTCCAGAGACCAAGGGCGCTCATTCAGAGAGGAGGGTGCCAGGCTGCACGGCACATCCCCATTGCTGGGTGGCTTTGGGGGAGTCACTGCCTCTCTCTGGGCCTCACTGTCCTCCAAGTGAAAGGAAGGGGGACGGGGTTCCACGCCCCCTTACAGCTCAGCCTGGGCCTCTGAGCTCGGATCTCAGGCCAGCAGGGAGGGGGCGGGGTGGAGGGAGGGTTCAGGCTACTAAGCGCCCCCTCGCTCCCCAAGTTCACAGTGTAGAGTCCATGGCTCTGGTTCCTCAGGACCTCCTTCTGAGGCCCTGGGGCCTCCTCACTGTCCCAGGCCCTCCCTGGGGGCAGCCACTCCCAGCTGAGGTGGGGAGGGCGGCCCTCCTAGCAGTGGGTAGAGGAGAAGGCAGCAGGTGACAGTGGGAGGGGGGCAGGGAGGGCCACTTCTCTTGCTGGAGTGGGTCGGTGATCAGAATCGAGGGGCCACACGGAGCTGTGGCAGGGCTGTGGTGTGGGGACCTGGGCTCGGAAGTCCTGCCCAGTGGAGCTCAGCTCTGCCGGGCTGACCCACCCCAGGTGACTCGGGCTCCATGGGGGCTGGCTGGAGCTTCAGTCGTCAGAATGTGGGGACAGGGCGGGGGTTCCGGTCAGCCGGCTCACACGGGGGAGGTGGCCGTGGACTCGCTGCACAGGCTCTCCACAATGTCGGCTCGCTGGATGCGGCGCAGGGCGGCCAGGAGGGCGTCGAGAGTGGCGCTGTCCTGGGCGGCCCAGGTGGACAGCATGGCGCGGGTGGGGCAGGCCTCACGGGTGAAGGAGTCTATGTGCTCGGGCTGGTAGCCCAGCTCGCCTGCCAGGTGCCGCCAGGTGTCCCCCGCTGAGCCGTTCAGCAGCTTCTCCACCTCCTCCCGCTTGGCTGGGGGGAGGCTGCTGTACAGGCCGCTGTCACCCTTGAGAGCTGCGGGAACCCAGGGGATCAGTCTCAGCCCTGTGCCCCTCTTCCCCGCAGCGGGTTGGGGCTGGCGTGAGACCCTCCCCTCACACCGCAGAGCCGGGGTCAGAGGAGGTCCCGTCTGGGTTAGGTCCCCTTACTCACTGCTCTGCCCTGGCATCAGCCCTGCCACCCAGCCCCTCCCACTCCTTGGCCATTAATCAGGCAGAGGCGGAGACGGATTGCTAGCTCCAGACAAGGCAGCCAGCTACTGAGTATCCTGGAGCCGGGCTGCAGGCCACTAATTAGGATCCATACTTGGCCACTTGCTCCCCAGAAGTCCAGGGCAGGAGGCTAATTGCAGTTACTTTGCGCAGTAATTAGCCCCCAGGGGGGACAATTAGCTTGATGAGTCTGGATGCTCTGACTTGTAAGAGCTTCATTTCCAGTCACCCCGCTGGAAGGGACCCCACCGTCCCCTTCTCTCCCCTGGCCTCCCTCGGCTGCTCACATCCTGCTAAAAACTCAGTCCTTCCCTAGCCCCATCCCTCCTGTCACCTGATCTTAATCAGGGTGGCCTTGTCCCGCCTGCCACTCACCCTGGCCCTGGGCCGTCTGCGTGTGGGACTGCTGGTCGTGCAGGCTCTGGCTGTCCACGGAGATGCCGCTGTCGCTGTGGAGCTTCTCGCCCTCAGGCGGGGGTGTCTGGTTCGCGGGTCTGCTGTTGGCGCCCTGCTTGTTCTGCTTGCAGCTGTTCCACCTGCAGCCGGGGGACAGGCCGGGTCTCGGGGTGAGGGGCTGTGTCCCGGCCTGGGCTGCAGGCTCTAAGATCTGATGCATGGGCCAGAGGCACAGTAGGGGCCCTGTGCCATTTAAGGGCTTGTGACGCCCTCAGGACAGCTTCGTGAGCGTAGGGGGCACTCTGAAAGCACTGAGTAACTGTTCACAGAATGAGCAGCAATGATAACTTCTCAGAAATCCTGCTTCTCCCAACCTTCCGTTCCTAAATCCTCCTAACGTGCGGACAGCTATGCACACGAGGATTTGCTCTGCTATTATAAGCAATAACAAACAACAGAAAACAAACCAAAAGCTCATCACAAGAGGACCAATATTAACAAACAAAGTGAGGGCCAGCACAGAAGAAGATGCAGTGTGACTGCATGGAGACTAAGAAAGGCCTGCATGCCTGTGTTGGATCACGAAAAGCTTGAGATACGTGCATTTTATTAAAAATGCATAGAAAATAATTGGGAAGGACCTTCTCTGAACAGATTCCAATCTTTCTAAACAATCAAGTATTACGCTGAGAACTTCAAATAATAAAGAATGGAAAATACGCTGAAAACTTCAAAATGGGTTCCTGGAGTTCTGAATTCTGGGTGCCTGGACATGGACATCTCAGGAGACAGATGGTGGAGATGCACGTGCACCCGTGACTGTCAGGTGAACAGGGGTGGGGGATGAGGACATGAGCTGTTGGGGGTCAGGGCAGAACCCAACATGGGGTGGAGTGAAGAGTGTGTGTATGTGGACGTGGCGGTGCGGGCCTGTAATCCCAGTACTCTGGGAAGCTGGGGCAAGAAGGTCACAAGTATGAGCCCAAACTGGGCAATTTAGAAAGACCCTGCCCCCAAACAAAAAGTTACACACACACACACACACACACACACACACACACACATGGGCTGTGTAGGTAGCTCAGCTGGAAGACCCTGGGTTTAATTTTCAGGTCAGGTGCTTAAGGACACATGTCCCCGCACGTCCCCCCCATCCCCACTCACCTCTTGAACACGATGTAGGCCACAAGGCCCACCACCACTGCAGCCAGGATGGAGCAGTAGATGGGGATGAGGTCGTCGGCGGTGCCCCGGGTCACTACGGGCTGGGAGCTGCCCATCACAGTGGTTACCACATCTGCCACCGTGCTGGCCACGATGTCTTGTTCGGGAGGTGCCTCAGGCTCCTGGGTGCCGGGCACTGTACCGTCTGCGCCCTCTGGGGGCGTGGACCGTGTGATCCAGCGGCCAGGGATCTCTGCGGGGAGAAGGGCTGTGAGAGTGAGGGGCGGCCTGCTGCTGTTTCCAGGCCACATCCCTTTCTGGGTGCTCAGGGGCCCAGCCGTTCTGTGTGTGTGTGTGTGTGTGTGTGTGTGTGTGTGTGTGTGTGTGTGTGAAAGAGAGAGAGAGAGAGAGAGAGAGAGAGAGAGAGAGAGAGAGAGATCCTGCTGGTGGAAATAGACCAGAGGCTGCTGCAAAACACAAAAGCGCTCGGCTCCTTCCTGTCTCTGAGGCCCAGGCTCCGGGCAGGGGCTTTGGGTGCAGGGCACAGCTGGCATACATCCCTGCCGCCAGTCCTTGGGCATCGGCCAGACTCTGTTTCTCCACACAGTAACTAGCCACTGACAGAAGACCATGCCAGGTAGCCTGAGTCTGCCAATGGAGAAGGCTTACGAGGCAGGTAATGCCCACTGCTTCAGGGGAGGCAGACTGTATCCGGCCACCCACCTGGGCCCTCTCATGCCAGCTGGGCACTGCTGGCCTCCCTGGCATCAGCCTGGGTGCTCTCTGGCACCAGTCAGTGGGATTTTCCATTCTGCCACCCAGCCAGGGGCAGTGCTAGGGGTTGTGGGCTCTGGATGGCCTGGAGGTACTTGCCCAGGCAGAGCTGCCTACCAAATCCGTGCCCACTTTCCATACCTGAGGCAGAGAGGGAAAGCAAACAGGGCATGCAAACAGGGTGAAGGGGAGGGTAGCTTGCACTCTAGCAAGCCCACCTAAAATAGAGGTGAAGCTGCTCACCAGCCTCCTGGGCCTCCCAGGCTCAATATAGAGATGGCCCAAGGTGCCCCCGTCTGCACCTTCTGAGAGGTGGCCCCCAGGTGTGGGCCTGGAATCCACGTAGTTGGCAGTGGGAGAGTGACCATCCACCACCCCATCCTACCCTCCTCATATCAGCCCAGGAGGGGTACAGGCTGCAGATACAGCTCTATGCAGACTAAACCCTGGGCCCAGAGGTGGAAAGGTCGGAGGGCTGGAGGTAAACTCAGGCCATGCAGCAATGAGAGAACACAGTGGACAGTGCTGACCATCCAGGGCACTTTCACCTCTCCAAGCCCCCACCACGGGGACGGGATGAGATCCAGATGTGACCATGGCACTAGCATTCCAACCCACTAAGCCCTTGGCAGGTCCTGACAGCCACTTCCGGAATGGGAGCTATCCAGCGTGGGGGTGGAAGGAGGGACCAGGCTACCTCTCCTGAACTTCACTGGGCCCAGGGGGCCCTCCTGCCCCAGCCGAGTCACCAAGCTGACACCTGAAATGTAACCCAGGAGAAGAGGGGGCAGCCGAACCAGAATCAAATTCCACTTCCTGAAACGGACCTTCTGCTGGAGCTGGCCCTTAACCCTCAGAGGCTGGGGTTGACGAGGGTCAACACACCCCTCGGGGTGCCCTCCTCCTGAGAGGCACTGGGAATGCGGTGTCCCTGCCCAAGTGCCCCACTGGCTGGTCGGGACTTGCTCCCGGAACACGGCTGTCCTCCTGCCTGATGAGCTCTGGCCCGGCTCAGCCTGGCGCCTGATGACACTTGCCTGTCTCCTGGCTCAAGGCAACCTCCACAGAACCCCACTGAGGTTAACGCCCCATTCCTCCTCCACCCTCTCCCCAGGCAGGAAGCGTCCAGCAAATACCTGGCCTCAGCCCAGCCCCGGAGGCCTCTTCACCCTGGGCACTCACAAGACATGGAGGGCAGGCCTGGCAGACAGGAGCCGGGGGGAAGGGTGCAGATGGGAGGCTCCCCAAGGGCCAGGGATCAGCCTCCCCTTCCCGCTGGAGTCAGACTGAAGGCAGAGGCCACGCTGCCTGAAGGTGGAGGCTGTGTCCCCTGCCAGCCAGTGTGGAATTGGGCACTGGAACCCAGCCTCCCCTATCAGACAGAAGCCAAGCCTATCTCTCCAGTCATAGCTAGAGCTCCCTGAAGGAGGCACTGTGAGCCTGCTCAGAGTGAGGGGCAACCCCCGGTTGGCTCTCCAAAGGAAACCCCACCTGAGATCTGAACGGCTCTGCCCTGGGTGCCAGGTCCTTTCTCCTCCCACCCTAGCACACCCATCTCCCCGCATCCCACTGCCTCAGGGGGTTCACTGTGTCCAACCGAATCCTTCACTAAACTGTCAAGGGGACCTGGGTATGCACCCAGGCAAAGTGGGGTAATGACCCCAAACCAGATGGTGAGAGAGAAAACAACATTAGGAACAGGGGAGAGACACTGCTCAGACAGGTCAGGGTGAGACCCATCCCAGGTCCTAGGCCAAAAGCCACTGAGTGAACGGCTCCCACGCCTGCCAGCCTTGGGCCCTTCCCCGGGCAGAGAGCCTGCCTGGGGGGAAGACGCCCTGCTCTGATCTCTGATGGTCACGTCCTCCTTCGGGGGCCGAGTGCGGTAGTCCCAGAGCTACTGGGGGGCACAGGCCTCGATGCCAACTAAATGTAGCAGCTGCACCCTGTAAGAGCCCTACTCCGGCTCCCAACACTTAGCACGATGAAGGAAATGAAGTCAAAGGACCCCCACGGGGCACAGGATCAGAAACCACCGCGAAGACCCACGAAGGACACCGCTTGGTACAAAGGTCACAGAGCTGCCTGCAGGCCGGCTGGACCCCCAGCGACCCCCAGGGGGCACCCTCACCCGACTCCAGCCCCGGGCATGCACCCAGCGCTCACCCTCGCACTCGGCGTCGGCCCAGCGCGTGCACTCCCGCAGCTGGCGCTCGGTGTCCTCGCACACAGTGCAGGGCAGGCACGGGTCCACGTGGTTGGCCTCGTCAGAGTAGGTGCCGTCGGGGCACTCCTCGCACACGGTGTTCTGCTTGTCCTGGCATGAGTACACCAGGCCCGAGCCCGCCTCGCACACGCTGCACGCCTCGCAGCGGCCCGTCACCTCGTCCTGGTAGTAGCCGTAGGCGCAGCGGCACACGGCGTCGTCCGCCTCCACGCACGGCGCCGACATGCTCTGCAGGCCCACGCACTCGGTGCACGGCTTGCACGGCTCAGTGGCGCTCACCACGTCGGAGAACGTCACACCTGCAGGGCAGAATGGCCGGCATGAAAGCTGGAGAGACTGGGCCACCTGCTCCCCGGGCACCTGGGGTGCACGGGCTGGAGTCCCGCCCTGCACCTTGCTCGCCAGGGTGCTGACTTCTTTTTAAGAGTCCCATCCACATCCCTAGAGTCCCTGATCCCAGCTGTGCAAGCTGGTGGCAGCCACATGCCTGGGAAGGGGGCCAGGAACCCCATCCCTGGGGCCCCAGAAGTTCCTGGCCTGAGGCTTCATGGGGAACCCAGCTGGTGCTGGTGAATTCCTTAGCAGATTGCCTTGGAGAGCGCCCAGCCCTGCACCCTGGCTCCCAGCAGGATTAAAAAACAAACCGAGTGGGTTCCCACCCAGCCCTCCCTGAGGGCCAGAGCTGAGCTGTGAACCCTGCCCAAACCGGTGGGCCTGGCTTAGGGAGCCTCCTGCCTCAGCCGCACTGTTGTCTCTCCGTGAGTGGGGGCTGAGGTGCCACGCCCGAGTTAGATGGCAGGGCTCCGTCCGGAGGGTGGGGACCCACTCTCTCCAGGCCAGAGAGTTGGGGCATTGCCAGAGGGGTCCCAGCAAGAAGGCAGGAAGCACTGACAGGGACGGCCCTGTGGTGCACTCCTGACTCCCTTAGTGGAAATGAATGCGGAAGAGGTGGGGGCCCACCTGGGGTGCTCTGGGGTCCTTCCCTGGTCCTGGAGTACAGGACGGGGCAGAGCCAGATCTTCCAGGTCCCTTCCAGCCTGGGTGGGATCCCGGGAACTCAGAAGGACCTACCCTTGCTCTAAGGGCAAGAAGGTGCGATTCGGGCACCCTGGGGTTCTTGGGAGTGGGAGTGGGGAGGCAAAGAAGGAAAAGCAGGGGGAACCCTAAGGGTTTGAGATTCGGGCAGGGAAAAAAGGCCCCACGAAGGACCCACGGAGGAAGGAGAGCCTGGGGACACTCAGTTTGGAGTCCCTTCTGGCAGAGGAGCCCCACTCTGCACCTGCACTCTGTCATCTCTGAGCTGTGAGACTTCGTTTTACTTAACTTTTCTGAGCTTCTTTTCTTTCTCATTAAAATCAGACATATTCTCTCCACTCACAGGGCTGTGTCGAGGAAAACATGAAGCCCAGGCATAAAGCATTCAACACGCAGCAGGGGTCCTATATAGGTTGGGTCCCATGGGGGGGCAGTGATAAGTGCAGTGAACTTGGGGGCACAATAAGGACATCAGGGCAACCCATCTCTACAGACAGCGGCATCCTATCGGGTAGGCAGCTGACAGGGGCTGGGGCTGGTCACACTGGAGGGGACTCAGGGAACCCGCTCCTGGGAAAATGCAAAAATTAGCAGCAAACTCTTGGGAGGGGGTTTTAGGTGGTGTGAAAAATATGGGCTTTCTTGGCAGAGCATGAAGGCAGGAGCTTAATGGATTTCCTTATGGAAACGTTTTGAGGATAGAGGGAAAGTCCGCTGGGGTCTCCAGCCCATAAAAATGGGCTTGTAAAGGCGGCCTGTTAACACAGCTGGGGGAGAAGGGGAGGGGAGAGGGGGGGAGGAAAGGAAGGGGAGAGGACGGGAAGGCTGCAGCCCAGGCTGTGCTGCCTCTGCCTCTCTTCTTCACTGACTCCTCTCCTATGCCCCACAATGCTCTGACAGAAGGGAGTGGGTGCCCATCCTAGGGGATTCAGGCTGTGGGAAGAGAGCCTGGGGCTGGAGGGTCCATGACCAGACAGACAGACTTTGTCCAGGACCAGCCATGCCCTATTGGGCCAGGGCCGGATGCTGCCCCACAGCCGGTGGCAAAGCCTTCCCACCAGTCCAGATGTCTTGCTGCAGGGAGGGAGTTACAGCACCATAGGCTGAACAGGAAAACTGTTTGATGGACACCAGGAGTTGGGAGTGGCTGGAGGACAGCTGACTGGTGGGAGGTGGCACCTGGCAGGAGGGGATCAGGCTGCCAGGCAGGCAGTTTCCAGCCCTGTCCTTCCTCCGCACAGGCCTCAAGAGTAAGCAAGGCGTGGTTTCCTCCAGGCACCTAGGTGGGCACTGAATGCCGAGGGGATGGCAGGCTCTGCAGGGGAGCATTCGGGGTGAAGACCCCAAAGAGCACAGAACTCAGAGGAGACTGGGGCTGAGGGCCAGCACCTGCCATCCCTCAGCCTCCCTCGCCCCTGGACGACGAGGTTCCCTCACTCCTTCCCTCACCTCGTGTCACCCCATGGCAAGGACGTCCCCATCACTGTGACCTCAGGAAAGCTGTGCTTCCTGGCCGGGGGAGGGGGCCCAAGCCCTCCCAGGAACCCCCAAGGTCAGTCTTCCAGGAGGCGGGGATGTGATCCCCCACACAGGGGTGAGTTGCAGCCATTGATCTGGCAGAGTAGGAGATATTTTTAGCTGGGCTTAGCATCAGCTCCTTTGCTACGCTCTTCTTCCTACCGGCCTTTCTGCCGGGGTTGGGGGCTGGGAAGGGGCACAGCTGGGGATCCCCCCCTGCACCTTCATTCACTCTCAGCTTCTTCGCTCTGCCTCCTGTACTGGGACAGAACTGCTTCTGGTGACTGCACAGTGGTGGCCCCTCAGACAGGGTCCTCCCCTGCCCTGTCCTCCCCGTCCCTCTTCCGGTACTCACTGTCCAGGCAGGGCTCACACACGGTCTGGTTGGCCCCGCAGGGCTGGGCCACTCCCTCCCCCAGGTTGCAGGCCTTGCAGCACTCCCCGCCGTGGGTGTATAGGCCGGAGGAACAGGCCTCTTTGGCACCTCCGAGGGACACCTAGGTGGGGAAGACCAGAGGGTCAGGCTGGCAGGAGAAGCGGGGTGTCTTGCAAGCAGGATCCAGCGCCCCCCTTCTAGGGCCTTCTATTGGAACCACCTGTGCTGGGTTGAGCTCACTGAGGACGCATTAGGCACATCAAAGCTAGTGGCAGGAAGTGGGGGGGGGGCAGTAGCCTTGACAGGCTGCTGGGGGGCCAGGGCAGAGCCTGGGACGCTAACCTTCTGCAGAGTTCACCTTGGGGTGATGCTACTCCTGGCTACTCTTGGGATCCTGAGGATACACCAGATGGGGAAGGTCACCCGAGACCCAGCCAGGGCCTTCCTTCCGGTGGGGTGTCATGAATGGCTCGACAGGTTGCAGCCTGCCCAGGGCCCCTGGCCAAGAGGGGGAGCAGAGCTGAAATCTGGTCCAAGCTCCACTTGCTAAGCTTCACACCTGCAGGGCGGCCCTTACCCGGAGGAGGGGGGAGGAGAAAGGCAGAGGGGGAGGGGAGGGGAGGAAGGAAGGGGGGGGGCTTTTCCTAACAGGCTGTCGGGGTGCTTTTTCACTCCTTAATTCCACATCTTAAATATCAGTTCAGGAGAGGTCTGTGCCCAAGAGCAGAGGCCCAACCGAGGGCTTCCTTCCGGCAGGGCATCACGAATAGCTAGACAGGTTGCAGCTGGGGCTTGAGTTCAAATCCTGACTCTGCATGGAGGCTCTGGCTTGCCCCCATTTCCTGCTCGGAGCTTGTCATAGGAGAGATGGCGACAGCTTGGTGCCCCGCAAATGACCAACGGATGCGTGAGAGTCTGGTGCCTGTTATCAATGAAACAGCAACTGCTCCCCCCCAGCAGGCAGCCCTGCCCCACCGAGGTTTGATTTCCAGACACCAGCCCTCCCCCAGGCTGTCCTCCTGTGGCCGCTGGGAACAGAGCTGGAACCAGGGAAAAGGGGAGTCAAATTCCTGCCACTGAAGCGCCTTTGCTGGTGGATGGAACGATTTAGCACCCGATTCCCTAGAGGGAGTGGCTGCTGGAGGCTTGCTTTATATTTCTGTTCCTTTAAAAAAAAAAAAAACTTAATGTCTAATAAAACTCCAAAGCCTACTCTGGGCTCCAGCGCCTGCAGCCTGCACCGGATGCTGAGAAGTCGGGGTTCCTGAGTCGCCAGAGCAGAGGTCATTTTGGACGTTCCTCTGCTGCCATGCTGGCACAGGCATGGCCATGGCATCCCTTTCCCTCCAGTCCTCACCGGGGTTTGCCAGATTGGATGGGGAGGGAAGCAGAGGAGGTGGAGGACACACAGGCTGACCACCCAGGTCCCCTAAGCCTGGCGGGGAGGGTGCAGGCGGTAGAATCTTTCTGAGTACCAGTGCAGATTACTGGGCACATCTGCGGGCCAGGATGCAAGCTTTCCCTTGCAGCCAGATTCTGGAAGGGCCTGTTGTGATTTCTTTTCATCACTCAGGGCTCTGCTTAAAGGCCACTTCCGCAAGCAAGCAGTCCTGTCAGCCCCAGTTCCTTCCCACATCAGGTGGGGCTGCCTCCTTCACCACTGCTGCCCTGATCTTTCCCAGACTCCTATCCTAGGCCGCCAGCTCCCTGAGGGCAGTGGCCAGGCCTGTCTGGGGCTGGCACTGTAGCTGGCACACAGTGGGGACCAGTGTATATGGTTACGGGCTATAAGGACATGAGACCCCTGTACACCCTCCTTGCACTGGAACCCTGGATAGATGGGTCTCTCCAGGCCAAGGGTGCGCTGGGAATCACCCAACATTCTCCCTAAAGAGCTGCACCCTTCTCTGTCTCTGGAACATAACTTCCTGGCTTCTCCAGGACTCCAGGTCACTATTTACATCAGAATTTCTTTCTTTCTTTCTTTCTTTCTTTCTTTTTTTTTTTTTTTTTTTTTTTTTTTTAAATTCTGGGCCTGGTGATCAAACCTAAGGTCTCACACATGCTGGGAAAACATTCTACCAGAGCCACCCCTCCAGCCCTTTTTAAAAAAATTTGACTCAAAGGCTGGGGATTTAGCTCAGTGGTGTAAGTGCCTGCCTGGCAAGTGCAACGTTGTGAGTTCGATCCCTGAACCAAACAAAAAAAGAGAGAGACAGAGAGAGAGAGAGAGAGAGAGAGAGAGAGAAAGAAAAAAACTTTGACTCAAGCTCTCACTAAATTGCTCAGTCTGCCCTGGGACTTGCAATCCTCCTGCTTCAGCCTCCAGGGTAGCTGGGATTACAGACACACACCACCATGCCTGGCTTCCTGTAAGCTTTTTTTTTTTTTTTTTTTAATAGTTTTCTGTCCTTCCTTCCTGTCAAGGTATCAACTGTCACTTCTGGCTGCTGGCACAGCTTGACCTGAAGCAGCCCCTTCCCCAGCACCTAACTTATTAGGCCCGACTGATCATAATACAGGGCTTTGGGACCCTCCTTCCTCTTTTCCAGTGTCTTCCTGCTGCCTTGGTGTCCTTTGGCTGTGTTCCAGTTAATCTAGGTGTGTAGGCACTAAGGCTGTGTCTGGATAGTTGAGGGGGTCTGTGGTAGTCATGAGTAGGGTGTATCTGTGGGTGACCCCCTCTGCCAAAAACCCTTGCTCTTCCTCCCCTTCCAAACTTGCATTCGGAAGGGGCACCTCATATTTAGTAACCATGTGTTTCCTGTTTGATGTCCCCTCCACCATAAAATCCCACATCTGCTCCTTCACAGTATGTGACTTTGAAGGCATCCTTAATCTCCCTAAACCTGTTTTCCCATCCAGCACATCGGGCTGGGAAGGCAGCTACATGGTTTCCATCCAATGGAGTAAAGCGATGCAGATACGTCTGGTGGACAGTTGGGGTTCAATAAATGCTACTTATCAAGATGCGGCTCGTTTTAGGGAGTCTGAACTGCTGGCCCCAGATAGGCCCTCGTAGAGAGGCAGGTTTTAGCCCAGCAGAGTGAGGTGACTTAAGTTTTTTTCTATTTCAGAGTTTTCAAGGAACTAAGGTGCTAAGGACCTGGAATGAGTGGACTTTTAAGAATCTTTGTTTTGAAAGCTCCACCTGGAGGGGCAGGTCAGTTCGAGACCAACCTGGACTGCGTAGCAAGACTGTCTCAACAGAAAAATAGAAAAAGAAAAGAAAATAATAAAGCTTCTTTGTTTTAAAAATTGGACAGAATAGAAAGCAAGTTGGAAATATCTGCAAATATAGGGAAAGCTCCCGCAGACTCACGCTCCTTTGGCAAGAGCTCTTTGGGGAACAGAGCTGCCGGCAGGAGTTTTCAGAGGTCCACAGTATTTAGAGGTGGACGTGGACCAGGCGAGGCCCTGGCAATGCTCCCTGCCCCCCACTTTGAATCACGGTTACCCTGATTACCCAGGATAACGCTGCATGAAGAGGGGGAGGGGTCCGCGTGGGGAGAAGCGCCTGGGTGCCATACGCGTGTCGCCAAGGGCGAACTCCCGGACTGGCGGAAGTTCAGCGCTATACCACCTTTAGTGATTAGCAGTCGGTTAGGCAGGAAAAAGGAAGAAACCAGCCAAAGTTCTGGGATCCCAGCGTGCGGCGCTGCTCCCAACTGGGGGGGGGGGGGCTGCTCCTGTGTCCGAGTCTGGGAGGTTCGGTTTCCTCCAAAGTCCCTGTGGCAGCACACGGCGGCGCGTAGTAGGCACGCAGCACATGCTGTCCTCTGCGAGGCGCTGGAGCGCAAGGGGCAGGCACGGGAGCAGGGATGGGGGCGGGTGGAGGTGGGTCCCTTCCCCGCCCTCCGCGGCCGCCCCCTCGCCAGCTCCCCGCCTCCCCAGCTCTGTGCGCACCCACGTCCGCCCCCGCCCGGCCGCTCGCGCCGCCCCTGCGCTGCCCTCTGGCTGCGTCCCTCTCGGGCGCATTAGGCAGCGCAGCGTCTCTGGTTACAGACGTCTGAATGACAAAGTGCCTCCCTCCATTACCGGCGCGGCGCGCGCGCCAGCAGACCTACGGGACGCGCTCCGGTTTCAGCGCGCGGCGCGGCGGAGAAGGAAGAAACTATGAGGCCGCGCTGCGCAGCGGCAGCCCGGGCGGAGTGACGGCCCGGGCGGAGCGGCACCCCCGGAGTAGCGGCGAGAGCACCGCGGCGGCGGCCCGCAGATCTTCGCGGGGTCCCCCACCCCCAAGACCTGGCACCCCCCACGCCCAGCTTCCCTTCTTCCTGGCCTCTTCTCTATTCCTGGACACCCTGTCCGGCCCAGCCCTGAGTCCACGCCCTTGCCCCGCCGCGATCATCCCCACTACCGGCCACTCCAGCCCCTACTCCCCGCCTCTCTGGTCCACCTCCCAAGCCAAGAACCATCTCCAACCAGCAAATGCTTCTGCAGTTACTCCCAGGTCCCCAGACAAAGCCACAGGTACTGACAGTACCCGGAGGGGTCACTGCCCACCGCCCCCGATATTTCACTGCCACCTGGCTCCAGGGTGTGGATCCCCACCCCGTGTGAAATCCAGCTCCCTTCTCAAGCTGGGACTCCCGAGAGATGGGGGAGCACCTAGCTGCGAGTCAAGTGGAAGGGGGGGACTGTTTCCAGTCGCGACTCTGGCCCGACGGACTTGTGAGATCTTGGCCAAGCCCTTTAAAAGCTCCCCGAGCCTCAGTCATCTTATTGGTAAAATTGGGACGTGAAGGTTCAACGCTCAGATGAAGGTGGCAGTGAGGGTGAGGACGGTGTTTTCACTGCCAGCCTCTCCAAGCCGTGTACCCGGTCTCAGCCTCCGGGTGTCTGGAACCACTTGAGCGTCCGTGCTCAGGAGAGAACGCGTCGCCTGGCCAAGTCGATGCCTGTGGGCGTCGTGGAACAAGACCCGCGCCTCACGGAACGCTTGGGGGAGCGCGAGCCGGATCCGGATCCGGACCTGGGCCAAGCTGGGAAGCCCGAGGCGCGCGGGGGCGCTGGGCTAGGGTCCCGCTTCGGAGGGCCGTCCGGCGCCCGGCAGTGCCCCCTACGGGTTGCTCGGGTCTGCACAGCCGCGAGCTGCGCGTGGCCGGGACCGTCTCCGCCTTGTGCGTCCCTGCGCTCCACAATCCGCGCTGTGACCGCGGCCAGGCGGGGTTAGCCTGGCTCCCTCCCTCCCTGCGCGGCCACCGAGTGCAGTGTGACTGCGGTGCCCAGAAGCCCACCGGGCTTGGAGGACCCGGGAGTGGGCTGGGGGCGCGGCTCCGCCCCCCTCGAAGCGCACACTCCCTGCCCTTCTCGGGATGCCCGGCCGCGATTCCAGACTGGGCGAGGCCGCGAGGAAGGGCGCACGGACGCGCGCGGGGAGCGTCGGTCCCGCGCGCTGTCTCTGTCCCGCTGTCTCCTCGTGGTCAGGCGGAGCTGCCACTTTGGGTCCGCGCTCGCTTCTCACTTTGCTATCCATTTTGCTCTCACCTCGCCAGCTCGCGTGTCCCTCACCTTCTTCTCTTCTTCTGAACCTACTTCTGCCCTCTCCAACCCCTGTCCGCTCCGCTTTCCACGCCCCTCCCCCCTATTGTCTGGCCGGTTCCCATTGTCCGTGCCCGGTCCCCTCCGCCTCCAGTCCCTCCAGCCTCCTCCCCTATTGTTCCATCGCTCCTCTCCGTCCCCGCCCCGGTGCCTCTCGGCTACACATCTCTTGTCCCCATCTAGTTCCTCCTCCTTCCCTGGCCCCGGTTCCGTCCTGTGACTCCCCAGAGAGCGTGATGCTGAGAGGAAAGTCCCGGCATTCAGGTGTCTTCTTCCCAAGAGCCCGGGTGTCCAGGAGCCCCCTGCCCCCTTCCACTAGCCTCTCCCCGCTCGGTTCCCGCGGTGCCAGAGCCGGCATCTGCGCGCGGATCCTGCCCGCATCCCATCCCGGGACTTGGGTTGGCCTGTGCGCTCTGAGGATCCAGGACGCTCCCCTGTGGGTCCCGACATTCGAGGTCCTCGCCCGCCCTCCGCTGCCCTCCGCTCACTGCCCGCATGTGGGACCCTGGCGCCCCGCTGTCTGCTGCATGATGGCCCGTGGCTCCCCTCGGGGTTCCGACCCCGGCTGGACTCACCCCGAGGAGCAGCAGCTGCAGGAGCAGCAGGCGCGGCCCGTCCATGGCGCGGCCCGTAGCACCTGCCCGGCTCGCCCCCCTCTCGCGGCAGCGCTCGCGTCCGGCTCGGGCCGCTCTGCGGGCGGATGGGGCTGCGCTCCGCTCGCCGTCCCCGGGAGCTAGCCTGGCCGAGGCTCCGCTCGCTCTGGCTGCGGGCGGCGGAGCCTGGGTGCAGCCAGTGCGGCGGCCCCGCCTTCTCACCGCCCGGCCCGCCCACCCCCGGAACCGCGCCCGCCCGCCAGCCCCGCTGCCTCTAGTGAGAGCCGGGAGGAAGAGAGGGAGGGAGGTGCGGGTGCCGCACCCGCCGCCGCTTCTGGGCGCGCCGGTCCATCGGCCCCGGAACCGGGTGCCCAAACCTGCACAGGTCCCTGACGCTGAGGGCACAGAGGCCAGCGCGCCCCAGCCGTGGCTCTCCTCCTCTCCCTCGGGCTGCAACCAGCCCCTGGGTTCGTGCTTCTACCCATCTTCCTCTGCCTCTGGCTTCAGCTGCTTCCTGGCGCTTGGCTCCCTACCCAGCCTCCCTCTCTGCCCCTCCAGTCCCCTGTCCCCTTAGTGCTGGAATCTCTAGGCAAAGGCCTAGGGTGCAGGTGGTGTGCAAGGGAGACGTTCGAGGTGGAGTCCACCCTAACCTCATTTGAATTCTCAAATGATGGATTTGAAAGAGTCCCAGGTGTGCCCATGAAGCTTAGGTGCGCACAGCCTGGGTATGGGCTGTGGCTGTCACTTATGCCCGCAGCGACACTGCGCACTCATGTGAACCAGAGATTTCTATGAAGGCCCCTCCACATGCAGGGACACCTGGGGCACCATTCACACATCCTGGCACATGCCACACAAATCATATCTGCAGTAGCCCATCAGCATCTGGTCACGCGAAGTGCACAAGCTTTGAACCCACACACACCCCCTAGACACAACCCGACAGCAGAAGCTGAACTGTGGCAGTGAACCAAGGAGCTTCCTGCAGCCCGGGCCCTGGCTTCTGATCCGAATGCCGGGGAGGTTGGTGTTGGATACCAGCCTGTATCAGGCAGGTGGCTAAAAGCGTGGACCATGCATGGTATGCGGCTGTTTCCAGAACCACTACTGTCATTCTCTGGGAACTATGGCAGGTCCAGTCACAGGTACTGCTGACTCAGGAGTGCGCCACCAACCTTGGGTGCAAAGTACTGATCCCCTTCCATTGTCACCTCACACTTTCTTTCCTGGTTCCTAGACATTGAGCCCTGGAGCACCCAACCTTAGAGGGGCAGATCTGCAAAGTCCCTTCTTAGATGACAGGGATGGATCAGCCGACACAGAGGTCTCATGCAGAGGGCTAGGTCACCACTGGTGGCTCATTCTCCAGGCAGTTGAAGTTCACTGATTCATTCAGTCATTCATGGGGCGTGGGATCAGCTTGTGAATTTTTCTTGTGTAACCCAGAAAGTCCAGGGCACCACTCCAGAAAGCACAGTTAGGCAGCACTGTGGCTTCAAGCCTGTGGGCCTCCAAGGCTGGATATATGAGGCCAGGGGCACCAGGAGTCCCAGCAGACTTTCTCCTCCCTCTGGGACAGGGATTGCCTCAAAGATGTCCCCAGCCACTGCTGCTTTTAGAGCCCTGCCTTCCTCCGCTAAATTCACGGCAGGCAAGAAGGGGCAGCATTAGTACTAACAGCAGCGATCTGCACACTATCAAGGGCATCCACAAGTGTGGCATTAATTTAAATACTCCTGTTATTAATTTATGATCCCGGTTACTATTATCGCCAAGGTTATCCATCTCAACACACTTTAATACGGCCCACACCGCTATGGCTGGGCCTGGGTTATTAATAATTTCCATGGTCCTTGATCATTTAAGCCTTACTTGAACAATTACAAACAGCAATAGTTACTATTATTAGCAGGATTTCTATGATTAAACCAGAGCCCGAGACTGAAATGCAGTGCTGAGTGCTGATAGAGAGAAGACCATCACGTGTCCAGGGAGACAGCAGGCCCAAGTCAGGATGCAGACTTCCCTGCACCCACTCATCACTTCCTTGTGGACTTAGGCAAGTCGTGTCAAATCTCTTGGCCTTAGTTTTGTCATCCATAAAATGGGAATGGTTGTAGGGACATGAGGGCCGGATGAGGAAACTGTTCCTTGCAGAAAGGACTCTGTCTTTTTTTTTTATGCAGCCAGTATGGGTTTATTGAGCATCTGCTATAGGCCACGGGGGACTCTGCAGTGAGCAAAGGCAGCTGCCAACAGAGCTGATGTCCTAAGAGCTAATAATTTGTCCTGAGGGGTATTTTATAATTCGACACCTTGCTTGGTCACACTGGAGGTTGCATAGCTGTGACCAGGATGTGTCTTTGCCAGGTCACCTGCATTACCATGACCACAGCCACTTAAGTGAGAATCACTGCCAAACAGCCCCAGAGATACCAGGTGACTGCAGTGACCACGGTGAAGGCATCCTCCCTGTGACTGTGTATCATCAGCGCTGCCGCCACCTGCCTCCCGCATACTCCCCACACCGTCCTCATAGCTGCAGGGATTCCTGTTCCCAGTGAGAGATGGATGCTGGCTTCCTGTCCCTCCTCACTGTCACCCTGCCCTGGAGGAAGCCAGGCTCCCCCACATGAGAGGAATCCCTGTCCTTTCTTTCCATTTGGGCCACTGTTCCTGGCCTCCAGCCTGGGAACCAGCCTGCAGCGGCCACCATGACCTGAGCAGAAACGAGAGGGCAGAGGATGAGAACTCAGTCCTCCCCTGGACCCGGAAACCACACCAGGGGTCTCCCTCAGTCCCACCAGGGAACCCTGGGATGGCCATTTTCCAGACAAAGACACTGAGGCTCAGAGTTTAGGCCACTGGTCCGAGGGCCCCAGGAGGAAGTCGTGGTGACACAGGGCCCTGCCAGTCACACTCCTGGCCATCAGCCTGCTCTTCCCAGGTCACTCCCCACCCCTCCACCCCGGGAAGTCCCCAGCAGCCTTGCGTGGGAGCGGGGAGATGTGGGCTCCGCTCCACACACACTCCCTGGAGCCCCTGACCTGCAGAATCTGGGTCTGGAGGTTAGGGCAGGGTGGGCAGAGGTGGACAGGGGCCTGATGACCGCCAGCTCCCTCTGCCGTCTCAAAGGGTGGATACATCCAATCTCCAGTGCCCCAGTCCCAGCTCAGAGGGGCGAGAGGTGGGCACGGAGACAAGGACGGAGGCTGAGGGGAGGAGGAAGTGCAGGCCGTGCCAGCTGCATGCCATCTGCCCTGGGCAGCCAGCCAGGCAAGGTAAGTGAAACCTGCTGTCCCCGTTAAGAGCAGCCTCGGAGGCTTTGAAGCGGTTTGCAGGGATTGCCTGGGAACTGACTCCTCTGGGCCACCAGGGGGGGCCCGTCCACCCAGGGCATAGGGTGGGGCCCGGAGGTTTGATGCTTAGCAGTTTCCGAGTCCAGTCAGATTAACTGGAGCGTCCAAGTGGGCCAGTTGCACAGTGTCCTCCCTCCCCACCGCCCCTGGCAGCTTCCCAGACCTCCCCATGCCCCTCGGGGAGCCCAAAGGACCCAAATTCCCACCTCGGGGCCACTGGAGAGCTGTCCCCGTCTTCCTGAGACCTCACAGAGAAGCTGGTCAAAGCTGTCTGTCTACCCATCTGCAACCCTCAGAGGCCAGCTCCTGCCCAGTGCCATCCCGGAACCCCAGCATCTGATCAATTCTCTCCAACAGTGTCTCCCCAGGCTTTGTGTCTTGGGGGACAGTGCCCACTGGGTGGCGCTACCACCCGGAGAGGTCCAGGCCCTGTGATAGGAACACAGGGGAGACCCTGCATAGGCATGGGGCACCCAGACCCTCGCTGATGCTGGCAGCCACCCCGGCCTCTCCGTCCTTCCTCCGCTACCTTTCCCTCTGCCAGACTCTTCCAAACACAGAACTCCAATCCAGTCGGGGATTTAGCTCAGTGGCATAAGCGCCCAAAAGTGGGAAGATAAGTGGGTGAGCCAGGGGCACCCCTGTGAAGTTTATTTGCTGTGTGACCTCAGGCCAGCACCTTCCTTGCTCTGAGGGACCCCTCCTCTGTATAGGCCTCCACGAAGAGTCCAGAAGTCTTGGGTGTGGGGGGAAGCCAGGAAAGGGACACATCTCAATTACGCTCCTATTTGATGCTATTATAAATGGCACCTCTGGCCCACAGGCTGGAGGCCAGATGAGGGGTGAGATGACATTCAGCCCCGGAGGAGACTGGGCCCCAGGGTCCAGGGGCCTTCCGGTTGCAGATAAGAGCCAGGGCTATGCTAGGCCTTGAGGCCCATTGAAATTCCCACGGGAATCCCTGGAGGACAGCTGCCCAGGCCCCTGCTTATCTGCACTGCGGAGTCTGGGAAGTGGGGGCGTCTGGGAAGTGGGGTCAGGAGCAATTGTCTGGGTTGGTTTCCAGCAGGAGGGCAAAGGCCATGGACGAAGAGTCTGGACTAAGTCATGCTGGCTGCCCCTGTCAGGGGAGCCGCCTGGAGGCCCGGAGGGAAACTGGGACGAAGCTCATTCCAGGCCCACCCGTGGTCTCCAGGAAGATCCCTGGGGTAGGGGGCTGGGGATTTAGCTCAGCGGCATAAGTACCTGCCTTGCAAGCAGGCAGTCGTGAGTTGATCCCCGGTACCGATAAAAATGAAAAAAAGACAAAAAAAAAAAAAAAAAAAAAAAAAAGATCCCTGGGGCCAGGCTGGAAAAGTCAGGGCAGAAGGTGGCCCGGGCACCACCTTCCGTGTCATCATATCCTAGGGGAGGGAGAAGATGCAGCCCTGAGCTGGGGACCCTCTAGTCTGAGGGAGACAGAGTCCTTGCCAGGGATGCCCCCTACTCTGAGGAGGGAGTAGAGTCTTCTGGAATCTGGAGAGAACTTCCACGCACCCTCTCCTCCCTCTCCCTCCCTCCTCTCCCCTCCCTTCTCCTCCCCTCTTCTCCTAGGGCAGAGCCACAGCCCACCCATGGCATTGGAAACCTCGGGGTGCAAGAGGTCTCCCTAGATAGGAGTGTTTTGCACCTGAGGTTCCTATTACACGCTGTAGGCTGGCATCAGCAGAAGCAAAAAGCAGCTCAGACATTAACTCTGGCTGGGGAAACTGAGGCCCACCAGCACACTGCATGTCCCAGGCAGTATGATAGAGGGTGGGGAAAGCAGCCCCAGGGAACAGGGCCCAGGGCAGGGCGGCAGGTGGCGGGGTTCTCCCTGGGGTGGGCACCTCAGGGGCAGCTAGCCGGAGCAGAAGGAAGCGCTGAGTCGGCACTCATAGCCCCGCCTTCCCCAGCCGTGCTCCGCTCCATTCTTCTTCCGCAGGGCCCGCCCTCCCCGTCCCCCCAGGCCCGGCTCAGAGATGCCTCCCCTCCTCCCCAGTGCTCCCCCCTCAGCTGGAAACTCTTAAGCAAAAAGGTCGTCAAGATGATTAAATGCGAACAGATTTTCAGCTTTTTCCACTTTAATTAAAAATGTGCTCTCTGTTCCGTGGAAGCCGAGACAGAGCAGCGGTTCCTGGAGGCTGCAGGGCCAAAAATCCAGGGCAAAGCCCCCGAGGTGTCTGAGGGTTGGAGTTGGTGGCCGGGGATCAGAAGCCTGGCCAGGCGCCATCAGGGGTCCCGCTCGCTCGCTGTCCCCAGGGAGGGCCGGAGTGTCATACAGAGAATTCAGGATGGATGGGCCAAGGTCCAGGGCACAGGTGCCTGGGAAGGAAGCCCTGCAGGGCGGGTGGCCGAGGGTGGGGACCAAGGACTAGGAGTGGACACAGGCACACTGGGGGCATGGTGGGGAGGTGGGAAGCAGGGCTCTGCCTCGCTGCTGCCGCCTTGTGTGTCAGGAATGGAGACACTGAGAGGGGAAGGGAGGGGAGGGACGGGGCCTGGGAAGGGATTCATGGAGACACCTGAGATAGCTGTAGGCCCCAGGGAAGGAGGAGGCCGGGCTGGCAGGGCTGCCAGAATGACTGGACAGGGGCGGGCCTGGGACACCAACCCCACTTCCGGTCTGGCTCCAACCCCCACCCCCTGAACCCCCCACCCCCGCAGCCGGCCTGGAGCTTCCTTCTGACAGCGCGAGTCAGGACAGGACGGTGGGGACTGAAGTTCCAGGCCGCCTCTGCGCTGGACCCGGGGGACAGGAGGCTGCCCAGGCCAGGCCACCCACGGCTTCCTGTACCTGTGCCGGGTGGTCCACCTGCTCCTGCAGGGTGGGGACGTGATCCTTGTCCCTGCCCTTTGAAACCCCACGTGGGAACACAGGGCCCCACTGCTTCCCGGAAAGAGGCAGAGCTGCACAGAGGAGCGGCCTCCGGGGCCCTCAGAATCCAGCCCCAAGGCTGTGCAGCCCCCTTGTGAGGTGCGGGGGTCTTGCCTGATGCAGGCAATGCTCTGCTCTACTGATCAGCTGGGCCTGAGGCCCCGAGGCCCAGATTTTCCAACAGCAAGGTTAGGGAGACCAGGAGAGAAAGGCGACCAAGCCAGGGTCCCAGGAGGCAGCATGGAGTGGAGGCCTCGAGCAGGGGGACCCTGAGGAGGGCAGTGAGGACATCCCCAGCTGAGGGGACAGTGGGGCAGTCAACACGGACTGGGCAGGGGGCCTGCTGGTGCCAGGTCTCAGACTGCTGACTGGTCAGGCAGGCTCAGCCGGGGGCTGAGGGGACAGAGACCAAGCCGGCCAGGCACACTGGGACCAACTCCAAAGGCCCTTGTCCCTGCCCCCTGCAGGCATCGGCCCTGAGTGCAAAACCCCTGCTGCCTGGAGGACCCTGGCTGGCCCATTTGTCTCCTTCCACCCTGAGGCTGGCTGACCAGCTCCAGCTCCAGCTCCAGCTCCCAGCGCCTGCCATCGTGCTTAGCCCGGCCTCTTCCTACCTGGCTGCCTGGACAGCATCCTGGCCCAGACCAGCCTGGCACCTGCTTCCCCTGGACCCTTGGCCGGGAGAGGAGAGGGGCGCCCACCTGGTCCTATGGGTGGCTGACCCCAGGCCTGGCTCCCGACAGCCCAGGCCCCTGAGCCCCGCGCCTTTGGCCTCTCCTTCACCGCTCCACTTTCCGCAGACCCAGGGACTCCGAGGCCGGAGCAGCCTATTTCGACAGAGCCCAAATGGAGTAGCGCCGGGCGGGGTAGCCGGCGGGGCGGGAAGCGCGTCTCTGTTGGCGGGCACCGAGTTGCCCGGACCCACTAATCCTCCCCAGTGTTAATTATCAGAATTAACCGAACACTATAAATAACCCAACTCGGAGACTTGAAGAGCCTCTCTTCTAATTAATTCGTTTCCAATCAAGACACTCCGTCGCCCCCCTACCCTGGAATCTGAGGGATGACCGTCCCCCACCCCCACGCTGCACCCCAGCGCTGGAAACTCAGAAAACAGAAAGGAGGGAAAAATCAGTCTGCTTTCTTGGAAGGGGGTGGCCTATAAATAACCATATATTGGTGCTTTTGATGGACGCTGTTGGAGCCTAGTTGGCTTGGGCTGGGATGAAGAGCCGGGCGGGGAGAGGCAGGGTGGCGGAGACTTGCATCCGCTGCCCCTTCACTGGGCAATAAATTTCAGAGCAAGACTGTGAGTACCGTCCAAGGCCTCGGTGTTGGCTGGAGCTGGGGAGACGGATCGATTGGGGGTGGTGGTGAAGGGGGAGACAGTGAGGGATAGAAAAATGCAAGCTCTCAGAAAGCAGAGAGCCAGAGAAATGGGGGAGGGGCGAGAAAGTACAAAACAGGAAGAGGAGGAGGACGGCAGGGAGACAGGAGTGACACCCAGCAGGAGGGAGGGCCATTGCAGCCCCACCACGCTCTGAGACTCTCCTCGGGACTCTCCCAGTTCTCACCAGGGGGCCCAGCAGTGCCCAAGGGCTGTCCTGCCTGTGTGCAGCCACCTCCTGCCAGAGCCGCCTCCCCAGGCCATTGGGGTCCTTTAGGGATATGTGGCCTAGGGGCCCCATCCCAGAGTCCCAGCACCCCCGCCTGGCCCTGGGGAAGGGACCCTGGCATGCACATGCCGGCTGCCCTGGGGCTGCTGTCCACTCCCTGGGTGGGTGAGTTGCTGGACCTGGAGCTGGGGAGGGAGGAGGAGATGGAGACTGAGCCTGAGGGGAACACGAGAAAGGAGAAGGAAGTGGAGAGAGAGCAGAAAGGGAATGGACCATGACCAGGAGGGACAGAAGGACAGATGGACAGATGGAGGGCAGATAGCAAGATGGCGGAGGCGGGAGAGGCCAGAGATGGTCTGGCTCATTGGCCCTTGGTCCCTTGGTGTCCCAATGACAGGGCCAATGGGCACCTAGGGCTGGGAGGTCAGGGCCTGGGGGGCTCCTCAAAGGCTGTGACCTTGGCCCAGTGACTTCCCTCACCCCTGCCCTGGGTCGCCCTCCTGCAGAGCAGAGGCTGTGTCGCCCTGAGCTGGGCTTCACTGATGAGGTTAAACAGGGGCACATCTGTAACCAGGGCTCTGACAGGAAATGAGCACTCCATTCCAGACTGTCACTGGGTGGGCGTGGTGGCACACACCTGTCACTCAGCCCTCAGGAGGCTGAGGCAGGAGGATTGCAGTGAGCTCGAGGCCGGCCTGGGCTACACAGTGAGATCATGCAGTACTCACAGCGCCGGCTGTGTGGCCCTGTTTCGCCCCTGGTTGTGACTACTTCCTGGTGAGCAGCGGCCACATCTACCCTGCAGAGGGGGACCTGTGCACCCCACAATGCTCACCAGACTGGGGGCTTCCTGCAGGTGACGCCCCATGCTTCACCCTCCTGGGGTTTCAGCCCAGATTTTCTCTTTCCTGTGAGAGCACCCGACCCTCTGCAACCTGCTGACAGATACAGAGAGGGCACCTGTGGACCCCAGTTCTGGGGGGTTGGGGACAGGACCTCTATGCTCTCCCCACCTCCCGTTGGCCACGGGCCACTGGTCCTCCTCCTCCCCGTCCCCGCTGGGATCACAGGATGGAGCAGGTGGGGAAGTAGCCCTTCCCTCCTGCAGCCCGAAGCTGGCCAGCCGCACAGTGTGCAGGGAGCCGGCCCTGGGCAGCCGGTCGTCGTTACCCCGCTTTCTCTGCTGCTTCTCATTAGGCAGCCGCTTGGGAAACTCCTAATTTCCCGGTGGCTTTCCTCTCCTTCCTCTGCCTCTGCCCCTGTCTTCCTCCCAGCCCCGTCCTCCCTCCCCAGAGGCCCCTCCTGCAGGGAGAGCACTGGTGCCTGGAGTCACCCAAGTGGACACAGTAGCAGGGGACCCGGAGGAACTTGGCCAAGGAAGTGCGCCCCTGCCTGGGTTGATTTCCCCTTCCACCGCCCAAGTCCCATCCATCCGGTGCAGCGCTGCCCTGGTGTCACCTCCTCCAGGAAGCCCTCCATCCACTTGGCCTGGGTGGCCCATGTGGACCTCAGCTCCCTGGGATTTTGCCTGTCCCCAGCTCACTGACGTAGTCCCTGTTTCCTTCCCTTTCCCTCTGAGCGCTGAGCCCCTGGGGAGGGACGGTTGTGTCTATTCCTGGGGTGTCCTCTTGCCGAGTGGAGTGCCCCATAAGTGCAAGTAGCTAATTGATAGGGGGATAAAGGAGGAAAAGGAGGAGAAAAGGAGGAGGAGGAGGAGGGACCAGACTGCTCCAGGACCCACAAAACTCACAAGGCCAGTAGGTACCGCGCTCCGGGACAGAAGGGAGCGATTGTATCTTGTTTTTCCTTTTTAAAGACTCGTCATTGAGGTCAGATCATTGTGTGTGCCATCCACAGGTGATTTGTGAGGACTTCCTGCCGTCAGCCAGTGCAGGTCGGAGTCCCGGGGTGGAGAGGCCTGGCCTTGCAGCTTCACCCTCTGCCACTGGTCAGCATCCCGGCCGGGCCCAGAGCTCCTGGGAGCACAAGGCAGCTGCAGAGCCTGGACAGCCATGATTAAATGTCCAGATGGAGTGTGGCAACGTTGTCCCTGCCCTCTGGGGCTTCTGGGATGATTCAGACACACAGATGGGGACAGACCCGGATGGACAGCCAGGGTTGGGAGAGAAACACTGTGAAGTCAGACCCTTGTGAGTGAACACAAGCATATAAGGTGGCCCTCTCTCTTCGGTCTACCTGGCGAACTCCTATTTACTCTTCAAAGCCCAATTCACGTACCTAATCATTCATCTATTAATTTGTCATGGGTATCTCTTGCCCAGCACCCCTCTCCCATTTTCTGCTTACAGGAACTCTCTCCTTGATTGTTTTATGGAAAGAGGCTTACTTTGACTCTACCTTCACCCTCTGCCTGCTCTGGGAGCGGTCCTGGGAGAGTAGCCCTGGCTCTCTGATGGTTCCAGGATGGCCATAGCATTAAATCTACCCCAGAAGGGGTGCCCTGGGGTTCTTTGTGCTGAGCGTGCAGAAAGCAGAGTGGAGGAGCTCGAAGGCAGCGTTTATCACCACATTGGCTGAGCCCAGACCTTGACCTAAACTCTACTCCAGGAAATTTAAATCGTGTTCAGCCGTGAACGTGCTCTCCCTAGAAGTCAGTCTGAGATGACTTCGTCAGTGACAACCCCAGAGATCACACAGTCACTCATCATCTACCTCGCTCTGGCTCTGAGCCAGACCCAGGGTGGCAGAGAACAAGCCAGGCTCAGCCCCCACTTGGGGGCGGCTCCGTCTCCCCGTCCTGTTGCAGAGCAGACAAAGCTCCTCCAGGACCCCTCAGCCGCACCCACACTGTTCACTCAGCAAGCTCCCTGCGGGCTCTGACTATCCGGCCAGAGCCTGGGGTCTCTGAAGGTGGGTGAATCCCCAGTACCGGGGCCGCGCTCGGGGTTACATCCCTGTGCTTGTGGGCCCGGGTGAGCAGACATCCCAGGATGGGGGATGCACAACAGAGGATGTCCCAGAAGGAAGGCTCCGGATCCAGCTAGCGCTCTGCTGGAAAAACCACCCTCGGCTCCCTGTGGAAGCAGCATCCCTGCAGCTGCACTGCAGGCCTTGAGGCCTGCCCTTCCCGCAGCCCACGCACGGTGCCACCTGCCCCTGCCACCTGTGCGGCCCCCTCAGAGCACCCCTCTTGGGCCAGGCTGGCCTCATCTGTCTTCCTCTGTACCCTGACAGCCCGCTTCTCTTCCGGGCACTCCTGTCCTCCTCCTCCGAGGTCCTCCCGCCCTCGCCCTTGTCCCGGGCCTGGCCCACCCTGTCCTCCTGCACACCCACTTCCTTCCTTCTCTTCCCCCAGGCCTCCTCCTCCGCCACGTCTCTCCCCATCCCTCTCTCTCAGGCCGTCTTCCTGCTGCGTCTCCAGCTCTGCCTTCCTCCTGCTGGCTGGGCCCTCCCAGCCCTCGTCTGCAGCAGGCAAATTTCTACAAACAATTAAGTTTGTAATACATTCAATCCTATTACAGCCTCATTAGGCGCCGATAGCATTTGGGAGGAGGATGAGGCGGCTGGGAGGCTGATGGCCTCTGCCGCCCAGTGCCTGGAAGTGGACTGTCCCCATTTTCCAATGAACCTGAGCTCCGAGTATTTCATTATCTCCCCACATTTCCCCGGTCAAATGGGCCCGGGCATCTCTATGTCCTTTCTCTTTGCCTAAGTCTCAAGTCTCTCCTGCTCTTCCTTCCTCCAGTCCTGGGAGAATGGCTGTGGCAGCCGAAGGATGGAGATAGCAGGGCAAGAAGGACTTCCAAGCTGGGCATGGTGGCACAGGCCTGTTACCTCAGCACTCAGAAGGCTGAGGCAGGAGGATCGCCACGAGTTCGAGGCCAGCCTGAATTACACGGTGAGACCCTGTCTCAAAACACAAAAACAGAAAACCAAGAAATAAAATACAGACACCCCAACTGATAGTGAATTCAGAGCAGTCACCACTGCTGGGTAACTGTGGTCCTAAGGCGGGGAGCACAGAAGGCGGCTGCCTTGGCCCCAAGCCTGGGAGTGTGGGACCTACAGGGCAGCTAACTAACGGGGTCTCCAGGCCTGAAACTCCGCATGGGGAATGGGGGAAACAGCTGCACACATCTGGAAGAGACTTGCCTGGCTCCATTAGCCCAGGCACCAGCCGGCTGCTTTTGATGTTTAATCTCACGCCTGGCGCAGGGAGGAAACCAGTGGGATGTCAGGGGCCACTCACAGAGACACCCCTGCCACCAGCCAGCCTCCCTCCCCAGACCCCCAGGCAGCCAACTTCCAAGGCATAAATGAAATACCAGAAAACCAAACGCAGGCTGCGCTCCCACCCTCGGCTGCAGGCCGAAGGCGTCCCCCTGGGGAGGGCAGGGTGCCAGAGCCTCCCGCTCCCTGCCTGCCTGAACCCCGCCCCGCTCCCCAGCCCATCTCAGGCCCTAGAGAGCCCAGGGCCAGACCCCAGTCAGGCCCCCATCAGGGTCTTTTGGCAGAGGGCAGGCAATTGATGGAGGTTATTTTCTTCGGGGAGGGAGCTTTAGTAATCCCTGGGCTTCATCAAGTGGGTGGGGCAGGTAGGGAGGCAGAGCTGGACACAGCCCTTAGCTGTTTATAAAGTGCTTTTCAAAGAATGAGGAAACTGAGGCTCAGATAACTCTAGGAATGGATCACACATCAGACCCATGCTGCCCTCCTGGATGGGGTGGGGAGCCCGAGAGAGAGCTGGGCTGGGCTTCAGAGGAGGTTTGGAGGCAGGAAATCCCAGAAAGTTAGCGAAGGAGCCCAGTGAGTGGGAAAGCCTGTAATTCCAGCACTCTTGGAGGCTGAGGCAGAAAGATGTCAAATTCAAGCGCAGGCTGAACAACAGAACAATTTAGCAAGATCCCATTTCCAAAAAAATTAAAGTTAGTGAGAGTGTTGGTTGAGAAAAGAGGGGCTTACCCCGCAGGAGGAATCAAATTCGGCCACCGTGGGAGGTGCTGGGGGTGACAACTGGGGTTGTCAGCAAATGGGGACCCTTCTGGAGCAAGCACGTCCTTCAAGAGCTTGAAGTCTGATGTCACCTGGGCCCACAGTCACCTCAAGATTTGCTTCCGGGGCTGCACTCAGGCAGCTGCCTCATTGATGTGGCTGTGGCTGGAGGCCTCAGTCCCCAGGGACAGTGCCCCTCCACGGGGTGACTTGAGTGTCCTCCCAAAATGGCAGCCTGTTTCCCTAGAGCAGGTGACCTGGGACGGGACAAGAAGGAAGCTTCACGATCTCACCCCGGAAGTCACACGCTGCCATTTCTGGAATATTCGATCCGCTACACATAATTAGTTCTGCAGTGTGGGAGGACACACCAGACATGGGTACCGTGGTTTATTGGGGGCCAACTTCGTGGGTGGAGAGCTGGTCACCCCCACTTTACAGATGGGAACACTGAGCCTCTCTCAGGCACCCTCAGCAGATTGGTAACCCAGGCTCCTGGGGGTGGAGCCCAAATCTGAAGTTTCCAGCTGGAAGGAGGGGAACAGGGACCACAGTCAGGCCTCCCAGGCCTGTAAAATAAATATAATCACATGTTTGCTTTTGCAGAGAGCAAAGGCCTGGAGGGGAGCGGAGGGCGGGACAGGCTCCATCTAAACAGGGTTCTGCCCCAAGCCTTGTGTTTCCCATTTAAAACCGCACTTGGGTGGCTGGGAAAATAGGTCCGGTCCTGGTGCAGTTTGGGGAACTCAACCTGATAGTGTCTTGTCCTTCTTCGCTGTCTCGGAGAGTGGCTCGCAAGCTTGGTGGCTCCCTTGCAGGGTGGTCCCAGACCCTGGTCTCACCCTCCCTGAGCCACCAGGAGCTGGGCGACGGCCAATTTCCTGGTGACAGTAAATGCAGTCTTCACATCTTGGTGTCAGGGGACTCTGGGAGGAAGATCAGAGGTGGCGGAGCTGCTGGATTTTGGAGTGACACTGCAGGCTCCCCCCTGTCCCCCTTCCACCCCTCCCTACCCCCCTCCCAGTGCATGTGGCAGCCCCTCCTCCATGTCCCCGGCTCCATGGATATCACAGAATCAAAATCTCAGAGCTGGACGGGACCTTCAGAGAAACTGAGGCTCAGAGAAAGAACAAACTTTGCTTCTAGTTGTCCACTGATTTTGGAGACAGAGGTCAGCCGCCTCCCCATCAGGGTGTCCTTCAGGGAACCCAAGCTTCCTGAGAGGAGAAGGAAAGAGAAGGGAAAGGCAGAGGGAGCGGCGGCCACTAGAGGAAGTGGAGTCCTCTCCAGGCAGGGGCAGCAGGAGGAAGGTGGTCCCAGGCATTGTCAGGCAGGTGGCATCTCTGCCCTCCACGCCTCTGTTTTTCATGCCAGAAAGTGGGGATTTGTCCGTCCAGCCTGGTCCCACCGCCAGCTGCGGATCAGAGCCTCTTCCTGCTGGCCCTGGCCTCCAAGCATGGAGCACATGAACTTGGGTCTCTCTCCTGCCCTCTGACCCCAGCTTCCTCTGTGGTGGGGCAGGAGCAGGAGAAATAAACCCCAGGAGAAGATGGGGGTCATCGGGGTCACATGAGAGCTCAAATTGTAGGCGAGTGGATGGATTTGGTGAGGTCCAGGACTTCCTGGCCTCCCCACCCCATCGTGGGTCTTGTCTCTCCAGAGACAGCTGCTCCCCACGCCAGAGGGGGGCAGGGCCAGGGTGTGGCGGTGTGGTGCATACCACGCTTCCGGTCACTGCTGGGATGTCCCACCCACTGGCTTCACAAGCCCACAAGCCACCTGCTCATCATAAAGCTGGGGGCCACCAAACAGGCAAGGACAGGTTCTGGTGACACCTACTCCTGGAGCTCTGGCTATTGGGGGATGGTGGTGAGGTGGGGGCAGGAGAAGGTGGCTGTGGAGAGGGTGGGCTTGCGTGGACAGTGCCCACTGCCAACTCCAAGGGGATGGCATGGGGAAGACCAGCTCCCCCACAATGACGGTGACATTTGTATGAGGAAGAGCCGGAGGCAAGGCCTGCACTTGGGGTCCCCCTCCATTTACCCTAGGGATGCTAGGAGACGTCCCCCCCAAACCGCAGCCTGTGCAGGGAAGGCTCAAAGACAGATCTGTAAGCCAGTACTGAGGGTGTGTTGGGTGGTTTGAAGGACCCAAAGATGATGACTCAGGCTGGAAGAAAGAGAGCTGGGGGCTGAGTAGGCCAGGGGGCTTCTCCGAGGAGGCCACGATGTGCCCACACCTGAAAGCCGAGAAGGCAGCAGCCAGGTGCAGAACTCAGGCAGGAAGAAATGTTCTGGGCAGCGGCACCTGCAAGGGTAAAAGCTGACCTCGCTGGACAGAGCTGGCCTGTTGAATTTAAAGCCAGAGGAGACTGGGGTGAACCCAGCTAGGGAGGGCTTTGTGGGGGTGGCGCAGATCACATGAGGTTGCCTAAGGTAAAGCAGGGAAGTTGAATTTCCTGCTGAAAATGTAACATAAGCCTTCAAGCGCCCAGGTGTGGTATAATCCCAGGATCTGGGAGGCTGAGGCAGGAATAGCACGGTCAAATTCAAGGCCTGCCTAGGCAACTTAGTGAGCTCAAGGTCAGCCCGAACTATACAGCAAGACCCGGTCTCAAATAAACAAAGCTGGGAGAGGTCTTTGAGCAGGGAGGTGACAAGGTCAGGTTCACAGCTGCCACTGCGAGAATGGGTTACAGGTGCCCGCCTGGGACCTGCTGCAGTCCAGCCGATAGGGACGACAGGGACACGAGAGCCCGGGCCTGCTAGGGAATTAGAGCTGCGGCCCGCCAGCCACTGCGTGTGGCTGAAGGTCAGAGGGAGGCGGGGACATGACGCTGGGCTGGGGCTGGACCCCGGGGAGGCGGGCGTGGCCAGCGGCGGACTGCACGCCCCATTCATCCGCTGCAGCCCCGGGCCTTCCCTGCCCGGGCAGCGGACTGCTGCTCATTCACGGATCCGGCCGCAGCCACCTCCCTGGTTTCTGCCCTTTGCAACCCGCAGCCCCACCCACCCTGCTCCGCCCTGGGAGCGGGCTTCTCCCTCCAGCCTGCGGGGCGTGGCCTCTCTAAGGATGGAGGACAGAGGTGGGCTGCTGTGGGGCACCCTGAGGAGAGATGGGAGGGTGCTGTCCTGGGAGTGGCGACCCCCTCCCTGTATGGGGGGGGGCAGGCAACGGTGCCACCTTTCCCCACCGCAGAGTGATTCGATGCAGGGAGCCGAGACACTCGGGAGCAGGCACCGTTCCCCCAGAGTGCCTGCCTTAGGGTGACTCCCGCTGCTCGCGTCACACTCGGGGTTCGCACTGCATAGGTGGCTCACAGAAGGTCCCGCAGCCATTCTTCAAAACTTAGGTCTCTTATTGCCAGCGATTTAAGACCAAGCTCCAGACCA